CTTCCCCCCCCCCACTCTAACCATTAGCCCCCACACCCCTCCCAGAGCTGGGAAGAGAACCCAGGAGTCCTGGCTCCCAGCCCCCCAACCCAATAAAGCTGACCATGCTGCCTGTCCCCCGGGCACCTGGTGGATGATGTAGATGCCGTAGCTAAGCTGCTGGCGCTGCAGGAAGGGGTGCAGGAAGTACAGCAGGTAGCGCAGGTGCTGCTCCCGGTTGCGGTGGGGGATGATGACGGCCGTGCGGTGCAGGGGGTCGCAGTCGGGGGGCTGGTACCTGCCCCCAGGCGTCACGTAGGGGTTCTTGCGCATGATCTGCTCCAGAGTCAGCCCTGGGGGGAAGCTCACCCGGATGGGGCCCGCTGCAGGGGAACGGGGCAGGGCAAACGTCTCAGGCCCAGCAACGCGCTGCTGCCCTCCTCCCTTTCCCCTCCCCCCCCCCAGTGAGCCCCCAAATCTCTGCCCACAGCCAGGGACACAACCAAGGGGTACCGGCTTCCCATCCTGCTCTAACCACTAGATCCCCCTCCCCCTGCTGGGACAGAACCCAGCTGTCATGGTTTCCAGCTGCCCCCTCTGACGGCTAGCTCCCCCGAAGCCAGGCGCCCCTTACCTAGGAATGGGGAGGTCTCAGGGCAGTAGGGCAGCTCCTCGGGGCGCAGCGGGGAGCGGGCGATGAGGCTGAGGTTGGCATAGACATCCCCGGGCAGCGAGGCGTTGTGGGCAGCGCCGTGTGGCCCCCCCAGGCCAGCTGGGGTCCCCCCTTTGTAGAAGATGCCCAGGAAGTAGGCGACCCGCCGGCGGTAGCCCTCGTGGTACAGCAGCGCCATCACCACCAGCTGCACCCCCAGCAGGAGCAGCAGGTACCGGGGCAGCATGGCGGGAGGCCGGGATCATCTAGGCATGGCCGGCGGGCAGGCAGGGCCGGGGGGGGGCGGCCCGACACAGCAGCCTGCGGGACAGAAGGGATGACGTAGAGTGAGCCCCTCTGCCACCCATGAACTTTCCCCAAAAGCTGGGGATAGAACACAGGCACCCTGGCTCCCAGCCCCCCCAGTCCCCACTCACCTCCCGGAGTCAGGCAAGGAACCCAGGCGTCTGCCCGCTCTCTCACCTCAGCGGTGGGAGGGGCCAGCCAACCGCTGCAGAGGGTGCGGCCTGACGTGGGGAAATCTGGGGACACAGAAGCCAGCTGGCCCTTGACTCACAAACCTCTTGAGGAACAGATCCCGCCCACAAAGGCAGGTTGCCTGCCACTCCCACTCAGCCGCTGGGGGGCC